TTTTTTTATGATAGACAGTAGCATTTTTAGATTTGGCATGAAATTTTAGATATACCCTGAAGTTTTTAGCTTTCTAGCTCAAAGGGTCGTAAGATGTGGTGTCACTGTAACTTGGTGTTTGCAGAGCATACACCAAAGCTTACGACACTTTGACCTAGAGAGCTGAAAAATTCAGGTTAGGGGTAAAAATCAATGAGAAATCTGGTGGCAGTCTCGATTTTTTGAGTTTCTCGGCCAAAATTACAGTAACCCCATTTTTTCCAGGTCGCGTGCACGTGCTCCTACATTGCGATGTGTGTGCCTCGGACTGCTGTCATATTGACATGCATCGGTGTCCTGTACTATCTCATGTGCTTATTCGTCATCGTTTCACTGGCACGTCATCTGTTTGGCGGACGCGAGTCATTTTCCACGTGTCTACAGTATGACGATCGGCCGATTGATTTTCGGTCGCCACCGTTTTGTTGTATCATTCCGAAACTTCCGACGGCCAGATCCACTGAGTGAGTTGGAGAGACGTTCGGACAAATAGAGGGACATATGGAGGGAAAATGGGGGAAAAAATGAAAAAAATGAGCCGAGTTTTAAAAATTTCTCAAAAAATCTGAAAAGTCAAGAAAATTCAGAATACCTAAAAATCTGAAATTCCGGAAATAAAAGAAATCGGAGATTATGAAAAATCTGAAACATTTAAAAAAAGCAGAAATGTTTTTGATAATTTCAAAATTCGCTTTGATTTTTTTTTGAATTTTTCCCGATTTTCAGCCATTTCCGTCAATTTTTCATCGAAAAAAATCCAGGTTTCTCATACATTTTTTCGCGAATTTTCAATCTTTTTTATACAAAATCTCTCTAATTTTTCAATTTCCCCCTATTTTCAAATGAAAAATTTCCAGAAAAAATATCCGACGACTGGAATGGTGTGTTCTTCAAGCTCCGATCGTCCGCTCCATCATCATATTCCTTGACGTCGTCGCAGTCGCCGAAATGAGAGAAGAAGCGACGCCGTACATTCGATACTCCGATATGGCGTCATTGTGTTCACTGCTTTTAGCCATTTTTGGTGTTCATACACTCGCAAGAGTCACTTCGGTAGGTTTTCATTGAAATTTTGAGAATTTTCTGCTGAAAATGAACCCAAATTTCGCAGATTTTGTTCAATTTCAACTGAATAAGAGTCAAATATTTGTTTTTTTTTATTCGGCAAAAAAAAATCTGCCATTTTTTCACTGATTTTCAGCCGATTTCACTCAAAAAATTAGAAATTCCCTTTAATTTTCCATTTTTCAGAACAAACTCTCCGCGTACTGTTTCATGTCAATGTTCCGCCTTGTCGACATCTCGCTGCTCTTCTTCTCGGCTCAACAGCCAATGATTTTCCAGAATGTTCTACTCAGATTCAATCTAATTTCGTGTGGACCGCTTTTGAATGCTCAGGAGAATGCTTATTGTGAGTTTCAGCTCTTTTTACTGAACTTTTGCCGAAAATCTAGAAAATTGCTGAAATTCGATATTTTCTCCGAAAGTTTTGAGATTTTACAACAAAAAATAGCTGAATTTTCAATTTTTTCTGTTTTCAGTCGTCTGCAACTTCATCATCACTTGCGAAATGCTCCTGCTCAGTCTGCTCGCCACGTGGCTTTTGGCTCCGCGCCACAATGCAATGTTCGATGCGTACCGCCCATCTATCGCTCTCTCGGAAACAACCGCATCGCTCAACGAGACTGAACAATCGATTATTCTGGAGAATTAATGCATTTTTTCGAATTTTTTAGCTTGAAACTTTCAAAATTAGACTTTTACTTTCGGATCTCGTTTTTCTTAATTTTTACTGGTTATATTGTCGATCTAGTCGTCGCTTTTCGTTTTTACACCCCAAGTTGTGCATATTATGTATGATTTTTCGATTCTTTTCATGTTATTTTTCGATCTTTTTGTGTAGCTTTTTGATATTGTGAAATTTTCCGTTTTTCGCGTGAAATAAATTTTTTTGCTCATTTTTTCGACTTTTCTGCAAATTTTAGGTTAAACACAGACAAAACTATCTGCGAAAATATATAAATGTAAAAATTCCTGTGAAAATTCATTAAATTCAGCGAAAAAGAGTAAAAAAGACGAAATTCTGCCCGCCGCCGCTCTCCTATTCAAACGACCGCGCATTGTGTGTTTAAAGGCGCACATATTTTCGCTGGCGGGTCTCGCCACGCTTTCTATCTTCACGCAGTGTTCTCCCTCGAATCCTAAAATTTTTTACGTTTCTTTTTGCGATTTTCAGGTTTTTCGGTGTTTTTAAGCCGAATTTTTGCAGTTTCGAGGTTTATAAAAATTCTAGAAACGTTTTTGAGTGTTATAAGATTGAAAATTGCGGTTTTCTACCGATATTTTCGAAATTTTTGGGCAAAATTAGGTCTTGAAACTTTTAAAAATTGATATTTCTGTTTTTTTTTCGGAATTTCGTTAATTTTTAGCGTAATAAATTCATCAATTTTTTTTCTATATTCTGAACTACTAAATAATTTTTTGTGAGCTATTTATCGATTTTCTCCTTCATATTTTTTCGTTGTGCTTTCTCAACTTGCTCATCAATTCTTTTTGATTTTCAGATGACTAAGGGTACTCAAGCTTTCGGAAAGAAGCACGTCAAGTCCCACACGCTCTGCAAGCGTTGCGGACGCTCGTCGTTCCATATCCAGAAGAAGCGTTGCGCTTCATGCGGATACCCAGATGCCAAGAAGAGAACCTACAACTGGGGAGCCAAGTCTATCCGCAGACGCACCACCGGAACCGGCCGCACCCGCCACTTGAGAGACGTCAACAGACGCTTCAGGTAAACTTTTGCTCAAATTCTGAAACCTTGACCAAAATTTTGCTAACAAAACAGATATCGTAGAAATGTAAGCGAGATTGTACGATCTCCGGCTCGATTTTGTTTATTCTGTCCAAAAATGAGTCCTGATTGCTAATAAATCCAACATCTCAGTCAGATTCAGCTCTATATTTTCAATTAAAGCTTTGAAACCAGTTTTGAGGTTCGTTAGTTATCCGCTTTCAAACTTTAGTTTTAAAAAAATTTGGTGATCATGGTCAAGATCAGATTGCGATAATTATCGGAGGTAACTATGAAGCCCTAAATTAATAAGTGTTTATTTCCTCAGTTTGCCTGTCCTAGATAATGTTCCAAATTCATATATTCGTTTCCCGATAATCAACTTTTCCTTCTTTCAGAAACGGATTCCGTGAGGGAACAACTCCAAAGCCACGCGCTCAACCAACCAACTAATTTGTTGCTGTTAATTGTTGACAATAAACTGTCTACGTTCCAAATAGAAGCGTTTCGTTATTTCGTCTTGATCACCACCTGAAAAGAGAAAAGGAAAGAACACAAAAACTCTAAAGCTCAATAATTTATTAAACATGGTTATCGTATGAAGGAAAAAATCGAAAATTAATAGTCAAAATTGCCGTCTATATCGGTGATCCCGAAGCTCCGTAGACCAGTCTCCAAGATCGATGACGTGTAGCACGTCGGATAGTTGAATATTGTCGGTTGATAAGTGCACTAGTTCCTGAAAATTTTGTATGTGATGAAATTTAGGGGAATTTTGAGCTCACCATAATAGAAGCCACAAAAAGAACCATATTCGATACTCTAATACATAGTTGCTCTTCTGGTAGGTTGTTGCAATAGCTGAGAAGTTCCAGATAGAAATCCCTAGTATCCGCCAGGATCTTATCAGTTTTCGCGGATACATTGGGCACTGGATCGGCAAGGATAACCATGACAGCTCCAACCATTCTCTCCTCATCACTCAACTTCATTCGCTTCAATGGCTCTACAAGATTCTCCAAACTCTTCTGCGACACGCCGTTGTAACTGAAAAAATGATTTTATTAGGGTTAAATCCTTCTTCCCCGTACTCGACATACTCAATTCGAACACCGTGCTTCCCCTCGGTTTTTGGCATTTCATTTGGCGTCGCAGGATGAAACGATCCATTCGAATAGCAGACGCCGTTACATCCCGCCTGTGCACTCCACGTCGAACACAACCACCAATAGAATGCGGCGAATCGAGACTTGGCGATTTTCATTTTATCATCTTCTGGAATATTCTGCAGCTGATCAATCGATTTGACGATGTCGGCGAAGAGAACGAACGCTCTTCTGAAGTCAGAAACCACGTCATTCAACGTGGCAATTCTTTCAGCAGTTGGTTTGAGGGCTGTTCGTGGTGAGACCACTTCTGTATGATAGAAGGCGTAGCGGAAATCGTAAATTCCGGGAATCGACTGGTTCCACGTGTCTTCAGGATCAATCCGAGAATATATTGACCTCAATTTTTCGATGATTTCCTCTTTTTCCGGCTCTTTTTTAATTGATTTTTTGACTAATTTCTCCGATAAATCTGTCTGCGTCTCCTTATCTGCTATACTATCTTCATCCATTTCCATCGGTTCAGGGAAATCCGGAGTGTCACCTTGAACCGCCCGTGGATTCATTCCCACTTTTAGACATTGCGCCAGACGACACGATCGACACGCATTTCGTTGTTCTGGAAAAATGGGGAAATTGGAAAGTGCGCTCTAGCGAACTAATCGTGTTTTGTTTTCGAATTTAAAAATTCCGATCTATTGGTGATTTTGGAAAGTTTTGAAAATTCGGATTTTACCAAAAACCCAAAAAAAACCAAATTTTCAGAAAATTCTTAATGGAGTGAATTTGCACATGCTGCTCACCTTTCGCCACTAAACACTTGCCACCGTATCGGCAAGCGTACGTCCTATTCTTCCAAATACTTCGCCGAAAAAATCCTTTACATCCGTTACACGCATTCACCCCGTAGTGCTTTCCAAGAGCCTGAAATTTCAGATTTCTTGGAAATTTTTAATTTTACAAATTTTTCGATTTTTTTGTATTTTTTTGTAATTGTTCAAAAAAATAAAGGACAGGAAATACTACACACTTTTAAGAATCGCTCATAATTGAAATATTCAGGTCTCACCAGGAAAACTACCGTATCTCGGGCTACAGTAATCATCATACTTGTAACGGGCCGGGTCGGGCTTTTTCCCGAATTTCGGAGACCCGGCCCGGCGGGCCTGTCATTCCACAAGTTTTGAAAATTTCAAAAAACACATAAGGGGGACCCTTATGTGATTTTTTTCGATCAAAAAATTTTTTTCGAGTTTTGTTGATATTTTTTGATCAAACAGACAAACAAGCCAAAAACACAAAAAATAATGGAGAAAATTGTATTGAGAGCTCAAAATTTGGCTCAAAATTACAAAATTTTTGCAACCGGGCCTTCCGGGCCGGGCCCGGGCCTTGAAAATTTCCTCAGGCCCGGCCCGGAATGTTACAAGTATGGTAATCATAGAACATTAAACAATATTCAATTTGCCTTATTGTACACCATTCAATTTGCCTTATTGTTAGCTTTGAAATGATTATACTTATGACTATATTTGAAAATTTGTTTGGGTTACTATAGTCACCAAAACTACCATATCTCAGGCTACAGTGATCCTGGAAATATTAAATCTACACCAATCGACTCGGCTCGCTTCAAGCTTCCGAATGAGTATAATCATGGCTCTATTTCAAAAAATTTTTGGGTTACTGTAATTTGGCATACATCACTAAAACCACCGTATTTCAAGATACAGTAGTCCTACAAATATGAAATTTACACCACTCGATTCGGCTTTTTGTTAGCTTTCGAATGAGCATAATTGTGATTACGTTTGAAAACTTTTTTGGGTTACTGTAGTTTGATTCCGAAATTGTATTTTTCAAAAATTTCAACAACAAAAAATATGTCATGCGCTCAATTTTTATGATTTTTTTCCAAATTTTTTCGTCCACGTATACCAACAGATACTGTCGATATATTTGTCATTATTCCCCCACCAACTTTATAATATTACTGTAGCTTTCCGAAAGGGGAGAAGCATATAGTAACGAAAAAAGCTGCCGAAAAATGGTTTCCGTGATTCAAAGTGAGTTTTCAGGTGGTGGGTGGCCTAGAAATTTTGATTTTTTTGAGAACGACGACAGAAGAAAAGCTCGGCCACTCAACGCAGCAAGGAGCGTACAGAACGTGAGGATAAGAGTCAAAAGACGATAGCTGAGGATCCGACGAACGTGGAACGTAAGGTTCAGAGGAAACAGGTGAGCACACATTTTTGGTCTGGAGGAAAAGGTGAAAGTTTTGAAAAAAAAAGTAACCAAAAAATTTCGAGAAAAATGGTCATGCGCAACTCAATCTTCACAATGTTTCACGCCGACAAGTGGACAAAAAAATATTTGCAGATTGTGAAATTTGTGAAGAACACATTGGAGAAAGGTCCTCAAGGTCTTCGTACCGAATTCGCCGGCATGAAACGTTTCAACGACTTTGAGAAGATGAAGGCGTTCAAAGGCGCACAGGAGATGGGAAAGAATCGTTATAAGGATGTGGGATGCCTGGATAATAATCGTGTGAAATTGAACAATCCACCATGGTCCCATGATTATATTCATGCAAATTATGTTGGGACACCAACCAATCCGAAACGTTTCATTTGTACACAGGCACCGATGGATAAGACTTGTGCCGATTTTTGGTACATGTGTCTTCAGGTATACTGTGGAAATTTTTTCCTGAGATTTCAAAATTTTCGGGGAATCACTAAAATTCCAAAATCAAAAATTTCATCTTTTTGAAAATTTCGGAAATCTTTAAATCTCAAAAAAAATAGTTAGAATTCTTTTTTGAATTTACGAATTCTAGGATTTTTCGAATTTTCAGATTTTGATTCATTTTTCAAATTTTCAAAATTACAGAACTTCAAATTTTCAAGATTTCTGGTTTTTTCGAATTCCCGAGTTTCTGATTCCCGGAATTTTTGATTTTCAGAATTCTAGAACTTTACAATCTTTGAAGTTTTTGAATTGCTGAATTTCTATTAGATTTCTCTGAAATTTCCGAGATTTCCAGACTTGAAATTTCAGAATCTCAAAATCTCAAATTTTCAATTTTTCAGGAAAAAGTGGAAACCATTTTCATGCTGTGCAACTTGACGGAGAAGGGCGCCAAAAAGTGTTGCGAGTACTTTCCGTGCAAAGACAAGGACACATTGAATTTTGAGGAAAGCGGACAGAAGATTACGGTCAAATTCGAGTCGAACAAGACGGTACAAACTTTGGGGATTTTTTTTGAAAAAAAAAAATCAAAGAATTTTTTTTGGTTCTTTTAAAATTTTGTTGATAAAAAAGCCCAAAAAAGCCAAATTTTGCTCAAAAATTCTTTGAAAAATTTCAAAAAAACTTTTTTTCAGGTCGAATTTCAAAGAAAGAGTGATGCAAAAGTGACTGAAACGATTGTTTGTGTCGAGGGACCTGGTGGATTGACCCAAAAAACGACTCATTATCACTGGATCGATTGGCCGGACCGCGGTGTTCCAACCGCCGATATGGTCATTTTGGATCTGCTGGGCAAGGCTAGAGCATCAAAGTTTGTAGTCTTTGTAGTCTTCCCACCCTCTAATTATTGCTTCCAGAGCCCCAATCGTCGTCCATTGCTCAGCCGGAATCGGGCGTACCGGCTCGGTGGTAATGATCGAGTACATTATGGATCAACTGATTTCGGGACAACAAATTGAGGAATCCGACAAGATTTTGCAGAAAATTCGTGAACAGAGAAACAACTCTATTCAGGTGAATTTTTGAAAAAAATATGTTCAAAAAATTTTCATTTTCAGACGGACCAGCAATATCTCTTCGTCCATCAAGTGATTATGAACTATTTCATGGAGAAGAAACTTTTCGATTCGGATGTCAAAATGGCACATTTGGCATTCACCGAGAAGTATTTGAAAAGTGTACATTAGCTTTTTTTTGGGAACCTCCCAAAAATTGTACGAAGTGTCGTCGTCGGAAAACCAATCAGTCTCCAGTCTCTTGTCTATTGTGTTCATTTAAATAAAATGTTTTTTGTGGAATCTTTCTAAATTTTTTGATATTCCGAAATAATATTCTGGAATTTTTTCTTCTGAAAAAGTGCGTTTCAACCCATTTTTCATGATTTGAAACCCAAAAATGCAACTTTCTCGTCATAAAAAACCTATAAACGCTCGAAGGAATCAAACTTGCGGCCTTTTGCTCTATAGCCAGTCATCTTCCCAGTTGCGCCGTCAGTCGGCAGCGGACCATGTAGCCCGCAGAGCCTCCGCGCGCCGCCGACACGTGGCGCATTGGGTAAGAGATGTGGCTGTGGTGCAGAAGGCCACAAGTTCGATTCCTTCAAGCGTTTTTAGGTTTTTTTTGGCGGGAAATTTGAATTTTTGGTAATCAATCGGGAAAATTGTGTTGGAAACCACTTTTTTCAAAACATTCATCTAATTTTTTGCAATTTTTCTTATTTGTTTCTCAGATTTGGGAATGAATTTTGAATCAAAATATCACTCTTTTGTGGATCATTGGCCTTGAAGGTTTCAGAATTAAACTAACTTGATCTCCGCATACAGCACACAGTAACGTCTTCTTGGGTGGTGAGAACTTTCCGCCGTTTGAAGACGTCGAAGCGGTCGTTAGAGACGAATCGATTATCATCTGCTGCTGATTTGGCCCGTTTGGTTGTTGCGGATTCTGGAAAAGTCGGGGACCGTTGCGGAGATTTTTATCTGGTGGAAGGTTAAAGGAGGAGGATCAGATTAGAAGGGTAACTAGAGTTTAGGAGAAAGAGTATGGAAAGATGAGAGACGCAGAGAAAGAGAAGATCCATTGGATTCATTGGATCAGAAAAATAGGTTTTTGGGAGAATGGTGGGTTTAAAAAGTGGGGGAAAAGTAACAATTTTAGAGTTTCGGAGTTTTCAAAATTTTGAATTTCAAAAATCTAGAATTTTTAAATCTTGCATTTTCAAGATCAGAAAGTTATAGAATCTCAAAATCTTAGGATCTTAGAATCTCAGAATTTCACAATCATAGGATTTTAAAATTTGGATAGAGGGAATCCCTATATTTTCGAATTTTTCGCGATTTTCGGAATTTCCAAAAAAGTTAGAAATGAAGAAAAAACAATTGAGAAAGACATGAAAGTTTTGAATTCTGGAATTTTTAAACTGTCAGATACTCAACGTTTCTGGAATTTCAGATTTTCAAAATTTAAAAGTCTTTCAATTTCAAAATGCCAGAAGCCTTGAAGTCTGAAAATTCCGATATTTTTGGAAGGTTCTTGAAGTTTTTTCATGAAGTTTCGAAACCAAAAAAATACCATTTTGAATTTTCTAAGTTTCTCGATATTCAAAATTTATAATAATAATTTATTACGATGTGAAATCGTGAGAAACGTAATGAATTTCGAAAATTCTGGAATTCTGGAAGCCAGTTTTTTTTGAAATTTTAGAATTTCAAAACTTCTAAGTTTCAAAAAATCTTAGAATCTTCAAAACTAAAGAATTGTATCGAATCAGAAATGTACTGAACCGCTCATGAAGATCCAAAACATCGATAAAAAACGCCCCCGAAAAGTGGGCGGGGCCAAAAAGGAGGCAGAGTCTTCTGAGATACTGTAGCTTTTTCAAAACTAACAATTTAAATTCCCCCCAAAAAAATATTTTTCCTAGACAATAGCTTTAGTAAATCTAAATGGTCATCTGTCTGTCGGAGGCTTTTTTATAAAATTATCTAGATTTTTCGATGAACCTTGGAAAATGAGGATTACTGTAAATGCTGATGTTCCGAAAAATTTTCGAAAAAAAAACAAAGAAATTTCGGAGATCTGGTACAAAAGTCTGACCTAGATTTTGGAATTCGAAAAATTTCGGTAAACAATTTTTTGGGGAAGTTTTGATTCTTGAAAATTTCGGTGTTTCAGAATTTCGAAGCTCTGGAACTTGAAATTTTAGGAATTTTAGAAACTTCAGAAACGTTGACTTTAAAAAAATATCCGACGTCCTGAAAATTTTGCTCCGAAATCATGAATTTCTGAATTTCTGAATTTCTGAATTTCTGAATTTCTGAATTTCTGAATTTCTGAATTTCTGAATTTCTGAATTTCTGAATTTCTGAATTTCTGAATTTCTGAATTTCTGAATTTCTGAATTTCTGAATTTCTGAATTTCTGAATTTCTGAATTTCTGAATTTCTGAATTTCTGAATTTCTGAATTTCTGAATTCCTGAATTTCTGAATTTCTGAATTTCTGAATTTCTGAATTTCTGAATTTCTGAATTTCTGAATTCCTGAATTTCTGAATTTCTGAATTTCTGAATTTCTGAGTTTCTGGATTCTTGTTTTTCAGATTTTTCGGAAAATATCAAATATCAAATTCTCAAAATTCCAAAAAGTTACAGAAAAATTTTTTTCGAAAGATCAGGTGTGATTCTTTTTCTTCCATTTAATCCATTTTTTTCTTCCTCTTAATTCCTTCCTTTCATCAAAAAATCTGAAGTAGGTGACAAAAAAAAGCAGAAAAATTCCAGAAAAGGAAGAAGAATGGGGAATGTTTTGACGTCAATCTGGATAGAGGTCAAAGATTTTCAGGACCTCTTTGAAAAAATGCTCATATCTTTTTCAGTTTTCAAGATTTCTGAATTTAATTTACTACAAAAGTGTCCAAAATTTAATTTTACACATTTTCCTAATTATCCAATTTTTCCTAGCTTTTCTAGTTTTCGAGATAAACTAGAAAGAATTTTAAAAAAGTGCAAAAAAAAACAAGAAAATTACAAGTTTTTCTTTGCAAATTCTGATCGATGAACCTTGATAGACATCTAGAATAAATTAAATTAGCTGAAAAAACTTTTTGTGCTCAATGAGCTCTGAATTGATATTTTTGAAAAAAAAAAGTCCGCGAAAAATTTTCCCGAAAGTTCATCGAGGTCTAAAATGCAATGATATATCAAGAAGAAAAGTGAGAGAGTGTAAAAAAGAGAGACGCAGAGAAATCAGAAGAAAAAAAGTGGAAAGAGTTCAAAAACCGAACGTCTCTGGATGAGATGTCAGCAAATGTTTTTTGGAGTCAAAAATCAAAAATTATTTATGAATGAAATTTTGTGGAAGTGCATTAGATGGAGCTACAGTACTTCGGCCCAAATAAAAAAGCTAAAAAAATTCATGACTGAATTAGTTTTTTCTATTCAAATATCAAACCAACAGGTGAAAAAAGACCAGGTCAAAAATTTGCAATGCTTCTGAAAATTCGGAATTTTGACCTTTTCAAAATCAGAAATCACTAAATTCAACTTTAGCACTGAATTTCTCATAGCTTTTTACCCCTACCCTGAAAATTTCAGCCCTCTAGCTTGAAGTGTCGTAAGCTTTGGTGTACTGTCTGCAAACACCGTCCTACAGTTATACCATATTGTACGACACTTTGGGCTAGAGGTCTGAAAATTTTGATGTAGGGGGTAAATAGGTAAGAGAAATCTAATGGTAAGCTTGGTTTTCAAAGATTACGGGAATGGAAGGTGGATTTTGAAGATTTTTCTCGAAAGTTCTGAATTTTTAGAGGTTCAAAGTCAAAAATTTTATTCAACTTTGAAACTTTAGAAACTAAATTTTTTTTCCTGGCATTTCAGATAATTTCAAATTACAAAATTTTAGCTACTTCTCTATAATTATAGTTCAAAAATAAGAGAAAATTCTAAATTTGGAAAAAATGAAATAATTTGAAATAAAATGAAAGGTGACATCTTTTCAATTTTCTGAGTGAAGTGTGAGAGAGTGAGCATACTAGAAAAACGTTGAAAATGTTTCCGGAAAAGGACACGATGAGAGAAACAGTGTGTGAAAATGAGAGGATGGGCAGACAGAGGGTTCAAAGGGAGAAAAGAGCCCAAAGAGATCAAGTTGCAGAGCAGTTGTGTATGTACTTCTTGAGCTTTTCTGGAGAAAATGAGGACAGGAGAGAGAGAGAGAGAGAGAAAATGAGAAAGCTTGGAGAATATTTGAGAAGGAAGTTGAGGAGGAGATTTCTGGAGTCCTTTATATGACGCATTACAAATTGGCATATTTATGGACGTATGGAATAAATATATGAATGTAAGAATACGTGCGTCTAGAAGGTTCTGGGAAAATGTAAGATCATAAAATAGCCGCTAGCGCATATTATTAGAAAATTCTAGAGATCTATAATTGCCGAAAAGCGGCAATTGACGTATTTTATATAATTTTTAAGGATGGTAACATTGACATCTAGAAAAATTTAAAATTCTGTGTTGAAACGCTTGAAATCAGATTTCCCGATATGTTTACTCCTACTGTCAAATCTTCAGCTTTCTAGGTTAAAGTGTCGTGAGCTTTGGTGTACTGTTTGCAGCCACCGACCTACAGTAATACCAAATTTTACGACACTTTGAGCTAGAAGGCAGAAAATTTCCAGGTATGTGTAAAAGAGTACGGTGAATCTAGTGGTAAACTTGGTTTTTGAAAATGACGAAAATGAAAATTGGAAACTCGACATTTTTGAGACTTTATTTCCCAAAATTCTTAGATTCTGGTTTTTCGAAGTCAACATTTCAAAAAACCTAGTTCACCACTGAATTCCTCATAATTTTTGACCCTACCCCTGAAATTTTTAGCTCTCTAGCTCAAAGTGTCGTAAACTTTGGTGTACTGTCTGCAAACACCAAGATACATTAACACCATATATTACGACACTTTGAGCTGGAACGCTAAAAATTTCGGGGTAGGGCTAGAAGGGTACGAGAAATTTAATGGTGAACTTGGTTTGAGGAAATTTCGATATGAAACATCAGATTTTCTTGGGGAAAGGTGAATTTCTAAAGGCTAACATTTTCGAGGAGCTATTTCCGGGTCGAAATGCTCAATACACAAATTATGAAACCTTTAGGCAGACGATGTATGCATAAATCAGAACGAAGAAAAAAATAACTAGAGTCTAGATAGACACCACGCGGAGCACCTGGTTCTTGCTCAAACAAAAACCGAAAACCATGGAAACCGAAAATAGCAACGAGACCTTGTTTTCCGATTTTCTGATTCTTTTTTTTTCAGTCATCGTCATTCTTCTGTTAAGACCAGATTTAGGTCATGAGATGAATGTCGTAATGAGATTAAGAATTGCACAAATAAGTGCGAATTACAAAAATCAAATTTGAGGATAAAAATATCAAAAAACGAAGTTCACCACTCGATTCCCCTTGATTTTCCACCCCTGCCCTGAAAATTTCTGCTTCCTAGCTCAAAGTATCGTAAGATATGATGTTTTGGTGTTTGCGGACCATACACTGAACATTCCGACACTTTGAGCTAGCGATTTCAAATTTTTTCGCTTCTACCCAAAATTTCAAGACGAATCCAAATCTCAAACTCATATTTGAATATAGAGCAATTTATAAAAAAAAATTTTGATGATAAAAAATTATCAGTAATTTTTTTTCCGGTCGATCAAAAATCATCAAGATCATTATCAAAAAAAAAAGCAGAATACAGTGTAGTTTTTGTGTTTTTTTTCGTTGAAAATCATCATTGACGTATGTAGCTCGTCCATTCATTGTGTGCAGAAATTTGAAAAAAGTATTTTCTTTGATTTCTCTGCGCCTCTCTTTTTCCTGATCTCTCACTTTTATGAATGACACACTAATGA